GGGCCAGAGCCACGCTTCTCCATACCCACAAACTCACATTCTCTAGCTGCTTGAAGCCACTTTCCAGCTGCTGCTGGGCCCGACGGCCTTCTTGGAAGTGCTATGGAAAGAGGGGGGTGATAAGGCTCACCCTGGTTTCAGGGGCCCTTGGGAAATCCCAGAGAGGGGATCACCCACCATCTTTCTCTCCTGTTTCATCTCCTGTGAGTACTTGGCCAGCTCGAGACACACGTGGACACTGAGGTTCTCGGCCACCAGCTCCCGCTGGCCCGCAAAATCATTCACCTCCTGGAGAGTCTGCACAAATGACTGTTGCTGGCTGAACCTGGGATGCGGTGGAGGGGGACAGGGGCTGAGGGTCAGGGTCCCCAGGAGCGACATGCCCCAGGACCCACGTCTGTATGAGAAAATGTGAGCCCCAAGACATTCACCCCAGAAGAAATGATATATCCTGGTCTGCATCCCCAACCCTTGGGGGGGACAAAGAACTCACAATTCTCAGAATTTGGGGGGTTTTAGAAAGGGGATATGATGCTTACACCACCTTTTTGCATCACCCTAGTGGTGTCAGCGGCAGCACCCTGTAACCAAATACTATAAATGTTTTTGCAAGGAGAAATATTAATGTCCACGCTAAGTGGGATAAAAACCAAGACCGTAATGAACGTAATAAACATCAAGTCAGTTCAGGTTGGAGGTTGCCTCCAAACAAGTGACCAAAAGAACTTTTGATTTCTAGAGCTTTTTGGATTCTGGACCTGGGGACCTGGAATAAAGTGAAATGGTCTGGGCATTGTTTAAACGCATTATCTTAATCTTCACATGAGCCCCTACAAGGACGTCATCATCATCCCCAATTCACAGGAGAGGAAAACAGAGGCACAAAACTTAAGTCACTTGCCCAGAGTCATTCATTTAGTAACTGTTGGAGCCTCTCCCATTTAACAGGCGAGGAAAATAGAGGCGGAGAACTTCAGTCAACTGGCGGAAGCAGTTTGGCTGGAAAGTAGTGGATTTAGAATTCCAACACAGGTAATACGGTTTCTGCATCCGAGCTCATACCTCTAGGTGGAACTGGGGTGAGAAGTGAGGGGTCTGCTTGGGTGGCCCAGCTTGAGGGAGAAGTGGGTCCCATGCCCCCTGCCCTCCCAAATCGAGCCCTGCGTCAATCCCCTCTTCATTCTTACTTGGATTCTGGGTCATCTTTGCCAGGTCTTTTGGGCATATATTTTTTCACCAGGCTCCTACGGAGAGAGGCAGGAAGGCTGAGCCCCCAGCCCTCCAACCGCTCCCCCTAACCCCAGGGCGAGGCCACCCTAGGGTCTCACCGCAGCTGCTTTGCATAAGCCTGCTCCACCTCCGTCCGCTCTTTCACGAACTTCACGTATCTGTCCAACAGGTCCAGACCCCACTGCGTGTGCCGCTCGAGCACCTCAAACTGATCCTAGCGGGGGATTGGGAGGACTGGGGTCAAGACCTTGGGACCCCACAGCCTCCGACCAAGCGGCAGGGGAGCCTCCAGGCTCCGAGCTCCAAGAAGGCGTGGTTTCCCGACCCCGCCCCGGAGCGGCGCGGGGGGAGGCAGGAAACGGGCGGGAACCCCCTCCCCTTCCCGGGAAGGGCCAGGGAACAGGGGCGGGGCCCCAGCTGGACTACAGGGTCCCCTCTCCCGACGTCCAAGAGAGGTGTGGAATGGGACAAGGCCACTCCCCCTGCCCCGGCTCCCCTAATCCCCCCCAGATTCCAGAAAATCCGGCCGGCCCGGCGTGAGTCAGGGCCAGAGGCGCAGGGTTCCCTGCAGTTTGGGGGGCCTCTGAATGGCCAGAGGGTGGACACCAGGTTCCTCCGGTTGCCATGCTTCCCCGGATGCCCCGAAGGGTGACTCAGTTTCCCTCAGTGATTCCACTGTGCCTCGAAAAGAAATCCCAGCATTGGTGTGGGGGGCGATCTAGTTAGCCTGGGACACCCAGGAACCGAGGAGTGCCACCGTCCCCAGAAGGAGGAGGGGTCAGAGGGCCCGGCTAGGAAAGGGGAAAATTTCTGGGACTTCCAGGGCACAGGTTCGAGGCGGTCAGGTGGCGGCCCCTCCCAGTGCCTAGGGCGGGCTGGGGGAGGGGGCTGAGGCCGAGCCTCGCAGCCCCCTTCCCCCTACAGCGTCCCAAGCCCCTAGTTGTTGATTATAGGCAACGTGAGGGCGGTCTGTACTTCCAGGTCCCACGTGGGGTTGATAGTGGCCAGAGGGTCCCCTCCCCCGCCCCAGTCGGACAGGCGGAGGGCGGGCAGGGGCCCAGGGGCCGTAAGAGAAGCCGCCGGCCCAGTCAGGGCGCTCAAAATAGGTGACCTCTCCCGGCCGCCCCGGCCTGGTCCCAGGACTTCTTTTGCCCTCCTCACTATGAACCCCGTACCTCAGTTTCACTACCCTAGAGGGGTCTCTGCGTACGGGGCTCCTGAAACGCTCCCGGGCGTCCTGAAACGCCCTAGGAAACTCCGAATGAGGGCGGAAAGCGGGGATTCCAGGGGTCGGTGGAAGGGAAAGCGCAGAGACCCCTCTAGGGTACTGCAGGGGCAAAGCGGGGGTCTGGACCCCAGGAAGGGAGGAACTTGGAGCCGGGCGGATCGGACTCACCCACAGTTCGGTGCCCCAATCCATGCTGCTCCCGCCGATGCCAACGCCGCCGC